CCACCACCTCAGGTATATATGGCTGGCACCTTAGCCACTTGAGCCACAGGCGCCAAGCCAAGAAATTTAAAGACACAAAAATTGAATAAAAATGAAAATATAACATGTTAAATATGGGGATACAGCTAAAGCAGTGCTGAGAGAAATGCATCACCAATGTATTCATATAAATGTAAATGCTAATATGTGCTTTAAAAGATACCTTAAATCAATAATGAACTAAATTCAAACCTCAAGAAATTAGAAGGACCAAATAAGCCTAAAGAAAGAAGGAAGAAAATAATAAAGATAATGAAATTGAAAACAGAAAAATGATGAGAAATATCAATGAAACAAAAACCTAGCTCCTAGAAAAAAAAATATAATGAAATTGATTAACCTTTAGCAACTCTGACAAAGAAAAAGAGAAAAAACAAAACAAGGGACATTAATATAAATTCTGTAGCTATTAAATGGATAATAAACAACTACTATAAATTAACACTCATAAACTTGATAACTTAGAACCAACAGTTTTCAACCTGTGGGTCACGACCCACAGGAACTGTATTAAAGACTCATGGCATCAGGAAGGTTGAGAATCACTGACTTAGAAGAAATGGACCAATTCCTCAAAACCAGCAAACTAACAAAGGTCAACTACAATGAAACAGATAATCTGATAGTCTCAAAACATTAAAGAAAATGAATTATAAATTAGAACCTTACAAAAGAAATCTCCTAGCCCAGATGGTTTCATCAAAGAATTCTACTAAACATTTAAAAAATCAACATTAATCTGATACAATCTATTCCTAAAAAATGGAAAAGGAAAGAATATTTCCAAAATCATCTTATGAGGCCAGTATTATTTTGATATCCAAACTAGATAAAGACATAAAATCAGAAAACTACAGACCAAAATCTCTCACAAAAGGAGACACAAACTGAACCCAGCAATATGTTTAAAAAATTATATACCAGGAGCAAGTAGCCTGTATTTCAGACACGCAAGGCTGGTTCAGCAGAAAATCAATCAATATAATCCAGCATATCAATAGACTAAACAAGAAAAAACTTGTTTAAATATTAAACAAGTAAAATATTAAATATTAAACTTGTAAAATATTAATTGAAAGGAAAAGGCATCTGACAAAATCTAACATTCATTCACAATAAAAATACCCAGAAAACTAGGACTGGAAGGCATGTCCTCAACATGATAAAGAGCATCCACAAAAAACCCTACAGCATCACACTTAATGGTGAAAGACTGGATGCTTTCTTCATAAGTTCAGGAACAAGGTAAGGATGGTCACTGTCCCCACACTTATTCATTCAACATAGTACTGGAAGTTCTAGCCAGTAAAATAAGACAAGAAAAAGAAATAAAAGACTTACTGATTGGGAAGGAAGAACTAATATTCCTACCATTTGCAAGTAACATAATACATAGAAAATCACAAGAAATCTATGTAAATACTCCTAAAACTAGTAAGTTAAACAAGGTCGAAGAATACAAGATGAACACCATATTTATATTTTAACAAGAAACATGTGGAAATTGAATTTATAATAACTCCAAAAAAATGTAACACTTAGGTATAAATCTGCAGCATTATAACAAAACACATACCAGACCTTTATGCTGAAAACTGTAAAATATTGATAAAAGCCCCCCCAAAAGACCTAAATAAATGGAGAGACATTTTGTGTTCATGGACTGAAAGACTCAAGAGAACTGGTGAACAGAGAAGAATTACCACACTTGTAAACATTTTCCAGTTACCTGACTCCTGTTTGATCTGGATGGTGGGTTTAATACCAGGTGGCAAAGGAGACTGTTGAGGTTGTTGCTGATGAGATACTGGAGAAGATTGGGCCACTTGTTGTTGTGTCTGTTGTTGCACTTGATGTAATTGTTGCTTAGGAGACTGTTGATGCTGTTTAGGAAACTGTGCAAGAATCTGAGTTGGGGTACCCACTAAGTTTTTGGGGGAAGGAAGTCTGGTTGATGTCATTTTGATAGCTGAAGTAGACACTCCTACACAAGAATAAGGGAAAAGAGAATTTGAAATGAGCACCATTAAAATTACTTCCAGTTACTATAGTAGATAATAGTTTAAAGACTGAGTAAATCAATAAAACTATAATTTATTGAGCACCTAGTTAAGTATCAGATAAAATGTGTGGTGTTTTACATATCTAGTCTTCAAACTCTGGAAGGGAGGCATTGTGCTCTTTGGTTCAAAAAATGAATTGACTTTCCCTTGCAAACTATCACACAGGATGTTCCCAGACCTATTTCTTACAAACTTTTTAGAAAATGTAGGTTCTCATGGCTCAGTGCCCATAGTTCAGTGGCTAGGGCGCCAGCCACAGACACTAGAGCTGACAGGTTTGAATCCAGCCCAAGCCTGCCAAACAATAACAACTGCAACCATAACCAGGCATTGTGGCGGGCACCTGCAATCTCAGCTACTTGGGAGGCTGAGACAAGAGAATTGCTTAAAGTGGGTGGAGGGAGGGTGATTGGTGGGATCATGCCTATGGTTCATCCTATAAGGGTACATGTAAATCTCTCTAAATGTAGAATATAAATGTCTTAACACAATAACTAAGAAAAAGAGGTGAAGGTTATGTTAACCAGTTGGATGAAAGTATTTCAAATTGTATACAGAAACAGTACATTGTACCCCATGACAGTATTAATGTACACTGCTATGATTTAATAAAATAAAATAAAATTTAAAAAAGAGAGAATCACTTAAGCTCAAAAGCACTCTACCCAGGGCAACAGCTTGAGACTCTGTCTCAAAAAAAAAAAAAAAAGAAAGAAAATATAGGTTCTCAATATGAATAAGAATAAAGCAAATTTATTAATTTTTGAATCTTATTTATAATATTTTTCAAATATCACTTTTCAGATTCTATTAAGTCAATTTAAACATGACATCAGCTAAAATAACTCACACTTAAACACTCATCTTTTGAACTACCTAACAAAGTAAAACAGTTTTTCTATATCTCATTTCCAATAATCAATAGTATAAAATTTCTTTAAAATTCTAACTGGTTCACTAAATAATATTTAAAGTTTTAAGTGAGCATACTCAATATACCTACAGAAAAAAAATTCTGATCATAAGTCCTTTTTAGTACAATACAAATACTAGCAAGTAAACACAGATTAGAAGTACCAGTAACTCTCACTTAAGATCCATTATGACATTTGAGAAATTCTTTCCTCTCATATTTTTCATTTATAATTTTTTGGTAATTTTTAATTATTCAACTATCCAACAGGACAATAATTTGTCAATAAGTTGATATTCCTAACAGAGAGAACCTGAAATATAACTCATCATATTTACTTTTTAAGTGCTGCTAAAACAATGAAAAAGATGTAATAGCCTAACTCTTAAGAACCTGGGATGTTTTTTCACACCTTCTTCAACCAAATCCTCATCATGACAATACACTACATTACAGAAAAATGTTAAATACTTATATCACATTCTTATGTGTCTAGAGAATGATAAAGTTGGAGAAGGATAAACGCTAAGAACTCATTCTGATTCTCTAGGCCTCAGTTTCAACATTTGTTAAATTTTTCTTTTGCCTTCTAAAAGTTGTAGTGTGGATCAAGTAAGATCACAGATTGAGAAACACTTTAAGGATACAAAAGGTATAGTCAGAATCAGCAGGAGGGCTCACTCAAATTACTTACAAAAGTTCTCTACCTCCCCTCCCCCAATCCTCCCTGAATACCAGTGCAGAAGGGAGTGCAGCGGGGAGACGTTTTGTTGCTAAGCATGTTCAGTATCACTTAGTCGTCCTGAAAAGGACTGTTTCTGGAGCCCTTTTCCACACTAACATTTTATGACTCAATGAATATAGTGTTCTATAAGTTAACGATACTATTTTTAAACCATTTAAAAGCTTTACCCTTATATTGTACTCATAATGTGCAGTCTTGTACTAATTGAGGCTAACTGTACACTTGGTCCCTAACTAAACTATGATCTTCATATACTTTTGTATAGGAAAACTATCTAATGTAAAAGTATTCAGGGTTACTTTAGAATCAGAGGATTGTATTTAAACTATGCCTTCAATAAACAAACATGTAAAAGCTGTATGACCTGATCAAAGTATTATACTTAATCTCTCTGAATATTCACTCAATAAAAATTTATAAAGTACACACTTTACACTAGATCTGGGGAAACTTCTATATTCACCAAACAGTCCCTACCTTCAGGAAGGTTAAAGTTTAGAGAAGACAACCACATAACCCCACGAGTCTATCCTTACAAACTAATAAATGTTACTTTTATTTTAACAAATCCAAGGTCCTCTTCCTCTTCCTTTGCCCTTAGCTTCTCAAATAATTCAGTACTAAAGCCATCAAGTGGCACAAAACAAAATAAATAGGCAGCTAAGCAAAAGAGTGGCATAAAGCATGGAGTGTCAGAGCCTACTGTGGAGACTGGGCTAGCCTGGGAGTCAGAATCAGAGTAGGATAAAGAGGGTGTCCACACTGGGGGTAGTTCATGGGGTAGCTCAGCATGTAGAGTTAGAACCCAAGTGGAATAAAGAGAGTTTCCATGAATGTGGAAGGGTATATAGGGTCTTAAAAGCTTAAGCAGGATGTGCATAGCATAAGTAGGGGTAGCTAGGGTGGTTATCAGACTCCAAACTAGGTGAGGGCTTTTGAATAGGAAGGCCACCCAGCATGTATATCAGAGCTAGCTAGGGTGAGATAGGCATCCATGCAAAGGGTCAGCTGGAGGAGGGTGTCAGAACTCATGTTAGGTAAGGCAGGAGGAATATGGGAGATGTCAGAGCCTGAGTGGAGTGAGGACCACATCTGTAAAGGAGAGGGGCAGCAGTACTAATGATGAGCAATTAGTCACATATCAGAAGACTGATAAAATATGTATATTCAAAATAATGAAAGCTAGGTTTTTCCAGTGAAGGGATGGAAGAAAACTAGAATTAACATGCAGTGTTTGACTAAACAGTCTATCAGTTTGAACTCAGTTTTTAATAGAAATACAGATGTACGTGTGTTTATATACATCACACATTTCCCAGCAATAAGCATATCTAGTACTCAAATTTTAGCTTCTAATTATTACTTTCCACTAAAAACAACCAGAACTCCTTGAAAAAATAACTGACTCCAACACGGGAGTTGGAAAAATGTAGAATCATGAGCTTGGTAATACAATAGCCACCCTCCCCCCAGAATTTCTTTTTTTTTTTTTTTTTTTTTTGTTGAGACGGAGCCTCAAGCTATCCCCCTGGGCAGAGTGCTGTGGCATCACCTCCCCTGACTCCCCAGGGAAACCTCCC